AATTTTTTTTCAGAGAAAATATTATAAATTATTTTTCAGAAAAAAAAACAAACATTAGGATATTGACTCAACAATGAGTGAAAGAAAAAGGAATTACCAATAACAGGCAAATTTCCGAATTCTGCATCAATTATCCTTTTAAGTTGAATACCATTCAGACCTGGCATATGATAATCGGTGATTACAAAGTCTATCTTGTTGCACTGGCCTCTTAGCGTAGACATTGCTTCTGAGGAATCTTTTGCTGTCATTACCGTTATTTCCCCAAATGATTTATCTACATATTTAAACAATTAAATAAATCATAATATGATTAATTTCAACCATACACATACATAGGAATTTTCTAGGAATATTTTTTCCCTAAGATATATTTTCATGTGACAATTCAACGATGTGCTATTTACGATTATTGATATCAATCGGTCAATCCGAACAAATTTTCTTTTCAAATAGATTTTGTAATTTGTATTTATGTTGGGTCGTTATAGATATATACATATATATGTGTGTGTGTGTGCGCACATATATTGTCTTGATATGTAACAATTTATGTCTAGGTTAATGAGTTAAATATTATTCAAAGTGTAGTTAACTATATTTATGAAAAGACCATAAATTATTTGACTCCTTCTATCCTCCAAATACAAACTTGAACAAATACTTTGACTAGATTTACATGTCAAACAGAAGGACCACAAATTGTTTGTAATGTTGTTTATATGAACATGTCAGATAGATTTACATGAGAGCATGACCGGTTTTATTGGACACTATGATGATCTTGGTCTCTAAACAACTAGTTCAAATTTACATCAAAATATAGTAAAACCCAAATTTAAATTAAAACAAAAGCCCAAGACTTGAATATAGATAAAAACATTCAAACGGGATAACATAAACTTAATTTTGGGGGAACGAAACATATTTTACCCTAGAGCACCTAAAGGATTTTGCTCGCAACATAAACAAATAGATTTGAATCGATCATTATCTAAAATTTTCTCGAATATATGTACAAGAGTTCTAATGAAATGCATAATTTCATGGACAGATTTCATTCAACAATCAAGTGAATTTGAGGAAATGGTTTCAAATATTCAGATCTCAAAATATATATTTAATTGCTAGATAAGATATGTAAAATCTAATAGATAAAATAAAACTCATATGAACATAAACATATATATATATATAAAGCCAACTCTTGTGGGAAAACAAATTCAAATTGTAGCCAAAACAGAGTTTAATAGAATGATTATACCTTTGTATATAGGGGTTTTAAGCATAATTGGGATGATAGAAAGAATAATTGGATCATCATCCACAACCAGAATTGTGATGTTCACATTAGTGTTTTTGTGATCATAGGCCATTTTGCACTTTTCTTATTGAGAAATTTGGGTTTTACAATATGCAAAATATATAAAAGAGATTTTTTTTTTCAAAAGACTATGCAATATATATAAAGATAACCATGCTAATAAGTAGCTTTTGTCTCTCTTCTTTTTTCCTTCTAATTTTTGGGTAAAAGAATTTAAGAGTGGAGAAAACTTGGAATCAAGAAGTTACACTTGGCAAAATGAACCCCAACTGTATCTAAAAACCTTTTACGAAAAAAAAATTGCTTTAGTAATAAGTAATTTGAAACGGAAATAAGCAAAAAAAAGATATATCAAATAATATTAAAAAAGATTGATAATGTTACAAAAATTTAATTTTGTACGACCAAATGCAAAACCGAAATTAGACCAAGCCAATTAGTCAAACCAATTGAGGTTTATATTTCTATATTTCATAGATCAATCAAATACAAACAAAAAAATTTGGCTGCAAAAACTCTTAAAGCATCTATGAAAGAAAATACCACTACTTAAAACTAATTTGTGCTAATTTATCTAAGAAATCTAGACCAAGTTAATGATATTTACCAATAAATTCTGGCTTAATTTTATACAAAATTTGAAAATCTTTTTGTTCATTGAATTTATACTTATATAGAGAGAGAATTTAGAATATATATTATCAATAAGATTTTCTTACATCTTTGTTAGATTTATTGTATAAATACTAAATTCTAATCTTGTATGATGATTACAGATGTCTAATTTTAGATAAATGTTACTTATCTCTACTTGTTTTTTGTAGATTAGGTGATAGATGTTGTCGTAAGTCGTAACTAATAAAAATAAACTTTCACTTGGTCAATATTTGTTTTGATAGATATTTAGTTAAACTTGGCAAAAATTCATAAAATATAAAATGTGTTCATTTGCTATACTTTTATTTAAATAAATAGTGTAATATAATATCAAAAACATATTAGATGAATAAAACAACAAATTGTTTACTATTAAAAAAAAAATACAAAATTTCATATTATTAAAAAAAAAGTGTGTTAATGAACCAACT